TGATGCTTATGATTTTGACGACGGTGATGATGTTGATGCGGTTAATCATGATGGCGATCATACCGATGATGCTGATGATGACGAGTATGATACTACTGATGTGTATGATGTTGATTATGATGACGATGACGGTGCTGCTGCTAATGATGCTGATGATGTTGATGATGTTGCTGTTGTTCACGATGATGATGGTGTTGCTGCTGATGTTGCTGATGATACGGAGGTTGTCTGTGATGATGATACTGATGATGATGACGATGATGATGATGCGGATTCTGATGATGACGGTGGTGGTGGTGACGATGACGATGATGCTGCTGGCGATGATGATAATGATGATGATGCGAACACTGATGATGACGATGATGACGATGATGATGACGCTGATGATGCTGATGGATGCTGATGATGATGCAGATGATGCTGATTATGATGCTGATGATAATGCTGCTGATTCTGATGCTGATGCTGATGAAGGTGATGGTGATGATGACTGTTGTGGTGGTAGTGATGATGATGACGAGGATGAGGATGAGGATGATGATGGTGAAGATGATGATGATGATGATGATGATGATGATGCTGATGATGATATGCTGATGATAATGATGATGCTGATGATACTGATGATGCTGATTATGACGGTGCTGATGATGATGCTGATGATGCTGGCGACGATGACGCTGGTGATGATCATGATTATGTCGATGATGATGGTGACGATGTTGATCATGCTGCTGCTGACGATGATGCTTATGATGATGCTGATACTGAGGATGACTTTGATGACGGTGAAGCTGCTGCTGCGGATGATGAGTTTTACGTGTATGATCAGGATGCTCAGGATGATTATGATGCTGATGATGTTGCTGATGCTGATGATGGTGATAGCGAGGATGATACTGATGCTGATGACGATGATGCGTAGGATGATGATGATGACGACGATGCTGCTGCTAATGATCTGATGATGATGATGGTGGTGGTAATGGCGATGATGATGCTGATGATGATGATGATGCTTATGATGATGCTGATGATGCTGATGATGCTGATGAAGCTGATGCTGTTGGCTATGATGATGATGATGGTGCTGATGGTGGTGATGCTGATGCTGATGCCCTTGATGATAATGCTGATGATGATGATGAGGATGCTGATGATGCTGATGAACATGGACGTTGAGGATGTTGATGATGATGATGATGATGCTGATGCTGATGATGATGATGATGCTGCTGCTGCTGCGACTGATGATGATGATGATGCTGATGATGATGACGACGATGATGATATGCTGATGATGCTGATGACACTGCTGCTGATGATGATGCTGATGCTGATGATGATGATGATGATGATGATGCTGATGCTGATGATGATGCTGATGATGATGATGTTGATGACGATGCTGATGAGGCTGATGCTGATGATGATGATGCTGCTGCTGCTGCGACTGATGATGATGATGCTGATGATGATGACGACGATGATGATATGCTGATGATGCTGATGACACTGCTGCTGATGATGATGCTGATGCTGATGCTGATGATGATGATGATGATGATGATGATGCTGATGCTGATGATGATGCTGATGATGATGATGTTGATGACGATGATGATAATGATGATGATGATGATGATGCTGATGATGATGATGATGATGATGCTGATGATGATGATGATGATGATGCTGATGATGCTGATGATGATGATGATGATGATGATGATGATGAGGAGGAGGAGGAGGAGGAGGAGGAGGAGGAGGATGATGATGATGATGCAGCTGATGATGATGAGGAGGAGGAGGAGGAGGAGGAGGATCATAACTAGGGCGTACTTGTAGGCGATGGAGTTTGAGCATGGGAGGGGAAGGAGGAGGGAGGGAGGGAGGGAATCAGTGAGGGAGGGAGGGCGGGAGGCAGAGAGGAGGAGGAGGAGGAGGAGGAGGATGAGGAGGAGGTGGAGTAGCAGGAGGAGGAGGAGGAGGAGGAGGAGGAGGAAGAGAAGGAGAATGCTGGCGGTCACGGCACGACATGTTCAAGGTGGGCGAAGTAGATCAAGGTCGCCCGTGGTCGGACCGAGCTCAAGGGAGCTGGGGGCCTGTCTCAGCGGGGGTTGGGAGGCAGAGGCCCAGGCCATTTGGAGACCCATGAGACGACGCGGGGTATGAGGCGACACTGGGGGAGGCGGGGAGGGGAGGGGGGGGGGGGGGGAGCTGGGAAATGTGACAGGCTGGGCGGGATGTAGCGGGGGGTTGAGGTGAGTGGGGGTGATGAGGATGGGCGGGGGGTCGGAATAAGCTGATGATGATGATGATGATGATGATGATGATGATGATGATGATGCTGATGATGATGATGGTGGTGATGATGATGATGATGATCATGATGATGATGATTCTGATTAGTATGATGAGGATGATGATGACGATCATGATGATGAATATTATGATGATAAGGATGATGAAAAGGAGGGGGATGAGGAGGCGTGAGCTGATGATCAGGAGGTGTATGAGGATGATGATGGTGGCTGTGATGCGGATGGTGGTAACGGTGGTATTGATACTGATGACGATGCCGATGACGATGCCGATGACAATACGGTTGATGATGATGATGATGATGACCTAGATGGTGCCGATGATGCAGATGGTGATGCAGATGGTGATGATGACGCTGCTGGCGATGATGATGTTGTTGCCGATGATGCTGCTGCTGCTGATGATTATGTGAGTGCTAATGGTGATGAGGATGAGGACAGTGATGCTGCTGCTGATGATGGTGCTGATGATGATGCTGAGGATGAGGATGCTGATGATGAAGAAGATCGTCAGTACGATGATGCTGTCAATGATGATGCGGGCGCTGATGCTGATGCTGATGATGATGACGATGGTGCTATTGATGAGGATGATGATGCCGATGATGATGCTGATGCGGCTGATGGTGATGTTGATGATGCTCATGGTGATGACGATGTCGTTGATGTTGCTGCTGCGGATCATGAGTCCTATGATTCTGACGATGATGATGCTGATGATGATGCTGATGCTGATGATGATAATGATGATGATGATGATGATGATGATGGTGATGATGGCGAGGTTGATGATGCCGATGACGATGGTGACGCTGACGATTATGACGATGCTGATGCTGATACTGATGATGATGCGGGTGCTGGTGCGGCTTGTGATGGTAGTGATGATGCTGATGATGATGACGATGCTGATGCTGATGCTGATGGCGATGCTTATGATGATGCTGATGCTGATGCCGATGATGACGACGATGATAATGATGCTGATGCTGATGCTGATGATGATGATGATGATGATGGTGATGATGATGATGGTGATGATACTGATGATGATGATGATGATGATGATGCTGATGATGATTATGATGCTGATGGTGCTCATGAGGATGATGCTGCGGATGATGATTATGCTGCTGATGATGATGGTGACGATGATGATGATTGTGATGTTGACGGCGACGATGAAGCGGGGACGGAGGAGGAGAAGGAGGATGAGGAGAATGATGACGATTACGATGCGGCTGCTGCTGCTGCTGATGATGACGACGTTGATGTTGGTGGTGATGATGATGCTGTTGTTGATGATGATGATGTTGATGCTGATGACGGTGATGATGACGACGATGATACTGATGTTGATGATGATGCTGATGATGATGAAGATGCTGCTGCTGATGATGATGCTGATGATGACGAGGATGAGGATGAGGATGAGGATGAGGATGAGGATGATGATGATGATGATGATGATGATGCTGATGAGGATACTTATGATGATTGATGCTGACGATGCTGATGATGATATGCTGATGATGAGGCTGCTGATGATGCTGATGATAATGATTGTGCTGCTGATGATGATGATGATGATGATGATGATGATGCCGATGCCGATGCCGATGATGATGATGATGATGATGATGATGATGATGATGATGATGATGATGATGATGATGATGATGATGCTGATGATGATGATGATGATGATGCTGATGATGATGATGATGATGATGATGCTGATGATGATGATGATGGTGATGATGACGATGATGCTGCTGCTGATGATAATGATGGTGCTGAGGAGGAGGAGGAGGAGGAGGAGGATGATGTGGAGAGGGTGGAGGGACAAGGGGGAGGAGGCGGAGGAGGAGGAGGAGGAGGAGGAGGAGGAGGAGGCGGAGGATGAGCAGAAGCAGGAAGAAAAATATTAAGATGAACATGAAGAGGAATAGGAATCTGATCAATAATGATAACCGTAATACCCAACATTATAAGAATACCAGGACGATGAAACCGAATACTCATACGATGACGAAGGAGACGAACCATACTGCTAATAAGAATAGTAGCGATCACTCGATTTTGGATAATAAGACGAATCATGAGCATACTACTAAAACTACGAATCGTAATAACAAGAATTGTATCGTACTAAGAATGAAAATCACACTACTAATAAGACTACTCATACGAATAAAGCAAATACGAACACTACTAATACTACTAGCAATAAACAAGACAATCACGAGTCATAGTTCGAGTATTAAGTACTATTACTATTACTACTAATACTAATACCAACCATACGAGTATTTATAACACTACTTGCAATACTATTACAACGAGTATTAATAATGGGATTAACATAGCAGTAATAATACTAAGAAGAGGAGGAAAAGGAGGAGGAGGAGGCGGAGGAGGAGGAGGAGGAGGAGGAGGAGGAGGAGGAGGATTAGGAGGATCAGGAGGAGGAGGAGGAGGAGGAGGAGGAGAGAGAGGAGGAGGAGGAGGAGGAGGAGGAGGAGGAGGAGGAGGGAGGAGGAGGAGGAGGAGGAGGAGGAGGAGGAGGAGGAGGAGGAGGAGGAGGAGCAGGAGCAGGAGCAGGAGCAGGAGCAGGAATAGGAGCAGGAGCAGGCCGCCGCCCGCGGCCCGCCGCGGGCTCGTCGCCCTCAGGGGGTGAAGGTGGCGCTGGCCTGCTGCGAGAAGCAGAGCTACGCCAGGGTGGCTTTCCTGGAGGCCTGCAGGACGCTCGAGATGATGCAGGCTCCGCCCAGCTGGCAACTAGGGTCTTTTGCGTGGAGCCCAGGGCGCCTCCTGGTGATGCTCCGTAGGGCCACTGCTTCGGTGCGGTGCCTCCCGAATCGTGCCAAAACGGGTCCACTGCCCCCTGTCTCGAAGGGCACCGTCCTCGCGTTCCAGATTTTTGCGCAGTGCATCCGTCCTCTCTTCGCTTGGTGCTATGTGTTGCGTTTCCTTGTGGGGGCCCGTTTTTGCGCTGGCGATCTGTTTGGGCCTGCAGTGACCTGGAGTGGTTGCAGGCTGGGGGGTGCGATCGAGGTGAGACGAGGCGCCCCCCACCGGTAGATCGGTCTCGATCTCGTATCGTGTCGTGCGTGACAAGCGTGCGGGCGATGCGAGGCCGCGCGAGGGCGAGAGGCACCCTGCCCTAGTGAGGGGTCACCAGGCCTCGGGCGCCACGCGTCCTCTGTGTTTCCTCGTGCCGCCTCCTGCCTTCTCTTCCCTATTGCCTCCTCCTCCTCCTTCTGCCTCCTCCTCCCCTCCTCCTCCGCCTCCTCCTCCTCCTCCTTCCCCCCCATCCTCCTCCTCCTCCTCCTCCTCCTCCTCCTCCTCCTCCTCCTCCTTCTCCTCCTCCACCTCCACCTCCTCCTCCTCCTCCTCCTGATTCGTCTCCTGCTCGGGCCGCTTCGGTTGTCAAGGCGGCGCGCCACCGCCTTCGCCGCCAGCGCCTCGCGGCGCGGCGCCTGTGGCGCCTGCGGCTGCTCGAGGTGGCAGTGCCCGCCGTCGAGGACGCCCTGAGGTGGCGGGATGCGGCTGCATGGCCCGATTCCGATTCGATTCGATTTCGTTTTCCGACTTGGCTGCCGATCACCGCCGATCCGATTCGTGTCGATCGCCAGGCCGACTTGTCGATTCGATTCTGAGCTCTCCTGGGCTTCTGCTGGTGCCTGGCCTGGCCTCGCGTTGCTCGCGGTCGACGCCACGGCCGCCTCGGACACCGACGTCGAGTGGGCTGACGAGGCGATGGTGGCGCCGCGCTTACGGCGCCCGCGGGGGCACCAGCCCGCTGCGGATGCGGCCCCGCGCGAGCCCCCGCGGGGGCGCCGCGTCGGCATGCTCGTGGAGTGCGCCGGGGCTTTGCGGAGCGTCGCCGTGGCCATGCCCGACGACGAGCTGTGCCGTGTGGAGGCGTTCACCTTCTGCGTCTTCGGCGCTGCTGCGGCGGCCGCTGCGGCTCGGCGGCCGCAGGCGGGGGGGGGTCACGGTTGCGTATGAGACGGTGGGGGCCCGCTGGTTTTCGTGCGGGCCCGCCGTCCCTGGTGGTGGTGCTCGTCGGCATGTTGAAGGCGGGCGTCACGGTCGGGGACCCGACACCTCACTTGGTGGCCAGGTCCCCGCGGTCGCGCGGCCGTGGGCCGCGCTTGCTGGGCGGCGAGATCCGTCGCCTCTTGCCGCGCGCGCGCTCTCGAGCGCTCTCAGAGCGCTCTGGAGCGCTCTGGACTCTGGATCGGCCGCCACGCCCGATACATCTGCTGGCACCGCCAGATCTCAGAGATCCCAGATTCATATCGGTTCGCTTTCGCCCCGGTCCCGGGATCGTCTTCGCGCCTCGTCTCGTGACTTGCGCGGCGGCCGCGAGACCGTGAGATCCCGCCAGCTGCCCCCTCGGGCCAGCCTCCTGCCCCCTCTGCCCTTCTCCCTCCACCGCCGAGCGCGTTCCACCGCTCGCAGAGTGCCTGCTCGCAAACGTGCGAGAAGCACGTGCCTTCCTCTCTGTCATGGGTCGTAGATCCCCAGCGGCGCATCCAGGCCACTTGCGAGTAGTTCTGCCTTGCGGGTCGTGGAGCGTGCTTGTCTGCTCCCGATGGTGCCCGTGCGCCTCCTCAGCTCCGCGAGCACGGCATGGCCGACCTGAAGGTGGAGGCCCTGTGGCAGGCGCCGCGCGCCTCTCCGGGCCTGCGCCTTCGCGTCCTCGCCGTCCGCCGTCGGGGGCCGCCGTCGCCGTGGCGCGCCGTGGTCGTCGTCGCCGTCGCGGCGGTGGTGGTCGTCGTCGTCGTCGTCGTCGTCGTCGTCGACTTCGGTCGTGGTCGTGGCGGCGGTGGTCGTCGTTGTCGACAGGAGGAGGAGGAGGAGGAGGAGGAGGAGGAGGAGGAGGAGGAGGAGGAGGAGGAGGAGGAGGAGGACGAGGAGGAGGACGAGGAGGAGGATGATGAGGAGGAGGAGGACGAGGACGAGGAGGAGGATGATGAGGAGGAGGAGTACTGGAGGAAGGCCAGGATGCATCAGCGATGCTGCATTACGCCCTTCCGTCTTAAGTTCCCTTTTCCATATTCCCGACTAGCATTCCTTCTCACTACGCGAAGCGTCCCCTGTTTTTGAAACCAACATGTACCCCCTCGCATTCTTCGAGCTATCGGAATGCGAGTCGGTATGATCGTAAAGTTCAGGGAATAATCCAGCACTAGCCCTGGTTTGAAAAGGAACCGCACTCCATCGCTGTACTTTAACAGTCGTGATTGCATTGTTGGTTGACGCTCAGCATATCCCCAGAAGCTCATCCAGAAACGTGTATCAGCTTACTGTGATGCAGCTAGACCAACAAGGGTAAACAGACCCCTGGGAGCCTCTTGTAGATCTCTTGGAGCAAAAGCGTAGATCACTTGAGCCCCTTGTGGGGGCGTTGCAAACGCTCCTGGGGCCCTCTTTGGGCCCTCTTGTGGGGGCCTTTTTGCCTCCAACCTGGAGGCCATCAAGCCAATAGGAAGGCGGTGCAAGTCAGGGTCCCCACGTCGGAGCCAGAAGCATCGTCTCTTGGAGCCCCTTTGGGGGCGCTCCTGGGGCGCTCTTGGGTCCATGGTTGGAGCCATCGAGCAACAATCACGGCGAACAGCAGCATGTTGGGATCTTGCTGGGACCCTCCAGGGGCACGCTTGGGGGCATGTGGGTCGACCCCACGCCATCCCTGACACGAACTGCTGCACAGTGGCGGCGGGGTGGTCGGCGACATTGTATGGTGTGCTCGCCCATGATCGTCTTGCACTTGTTTTTGATCGGGGTCGTCGACCAGCGCTCGGCGGACAAATCTGCCTCCCCCCCGTCCCTGTCAAACGCCCCTGCCACGTTCTCTTGGGGCCCGCCCATGATCACGATTTTACCGCCGCACACACTTTGTACTACTTTTTGACAGGGGTCTCGGGTGTGTGGGCGAACGAGACGGGGAGGGGGGGAATACTAATAAGGGACAGCCCATCCCCAACTGGGAAGGAGGTTAGACGAGAGATCGCCCTTAAAAGCCTACGCCCACTGGACGGGTGGGATTCGACGACGCCTCAAGCGAGAGCCCCATTTTGAAAATTAGCCTGGCGAAGGACCCAACCATATGCAGTTGTGAATAATGCTGGTGTGAGTACCGTCTTCGGTGGATCTCCCTATGGGGCCACGAACCGTGTGAGGGGTGTGCCGAAATGGGTGGTGGGGAGGCATGCGAACCCTGCCACTGGGGCCTTCACGAAATGTGTGAGGGGTGCACCGAAGTTGGTGTGGGGGCGGCATGCGAACGCAGCCACTGGGGCCTTCGGTGGAGTTCCCTGTGGGGCCACGAAACGTGTGAGGGGTGTGCCGAAATGGGTTGTGGGGAGGCATGCGAAGGCAGCCACTGGGGCCTTCGGTGGAGCTCCCTATGGGGCCACTAAGCGTGTGAGGGGTGTGCCGAAATGGATGGTGGGGAGGCATGCGAACGCAGCCACGCAGGGGCCTTCGGTGGAGGCCGTGTGAGGGGTGTGCCCATGCTGGGGCCTTCGGTGGATGGGGCCACGAAACGTGTGAGGGGTGTGCCGAAATGGGTGGTGGGGAGGCATGCGAACGCAGCCACTGGGGCCTTCGGTGGAGCTCCCTATGGGGCCACGAAACGTGTGAGGGGTGTGCCGAAATGGGTGGTGGGGAGGCATGCGAACGCAGCCACTGGGGCCTTCGGTGGAGCTCCCTATGGGGCCACGAACGTGTGAGGGGTGTGCCGAAATGGGTGGTGGGGAGGCATGCGAACGCAGCCACTGGGGCCTTCGGTGGAGCTCCCTATGGGGCCACGAAACGTGTGAGGGGTGTGCCGAAATGGGTGGTGGGGAGGCATGCGAACGCAGCCACTGGGGCCTTCGGTGGAGCTCCCTATGGGGCCACGAAACGTGTGAGGGGTGTGCCGAAATGGGTGGTGGGGACGCATGCGGGCGCAGCCACTGGGGCCTTCGGTGGAGCTCCCTATGGGGCCACGAAACGTGTGAGGGGTGTGCCGAAATGGGTGGTGGGGAGGCATGCGAACGCAGCCACTGGGGCCTTCGGTGGAGCTGCCTATGGGGCCACGAAACGTGTGAGGGGTGTGCCGAAATGGGTGGTGGGGAGGCATGCGAACGCAGGAGGGAGGAGGGCGAGGAGAAGGAGGAGGAGGAGGAGAAGGAGGAACGCGGGGACCGTTTCTTCAAAACGAGGACCCAACACCACAGGATGGTTGGGAATTAGCGGAGAGAGTCTTTGTACCAGCTTGACACTTTTATAACGATTGCGTGCGGCACGAATGCGAGAGGCACATTTTGAAACCAACCGCCTTTCGTCCATGCACTTAGCAACCAAATGCTTTTAACACGAATGCGCGCGGCACTTGGGCGAGAGCAACATTCTGAAACCCCACCGCCTTCATCATTGTAAGTGTTGGGAGCTTGTAGCGCGACTGTATGGGGCCCCAGGGAGAGAGCCACATATCGAAGTCCAACCGCCCTCCATCCTTGTAGTTGCTGGAAGCTCGTACTGCGATTGATTGGGACCCCAGGGCGAGAGCCATACTGCGAAAGCCTTACGGCCGTTGCCGCCGACCCTGAAGGGGGAAGACGACGACAATGGCGGCGGCGGCGATGTCCACGACGCTGACGTGGGCCAAAGGGATGCTTCTCGGGGTCTCTTCGGAAGGATCTCGGGGGCCTCTGGGGAGGAATTCTGGGGCCTCTTGGGAGCCTCTTGGGGGCCTCTTGGGAGCCTCTTGGGGCCTCTTCGGGCTTCCTGGGGACCTCTTGTGGGCCTCTTGGGGCCTCTTGGCAACCTCTTAGGGCCTCCGGGGAGCCTCTCGGGGCCGAGGGCTCGAAATGTCCGTTCGGGTCCCCCGTCTGGGCACGCTCTTGGAGCCGTCTTGGGGGCCTCTTGGGCCGTCTTCGAGGCGTTGTGGGGTGTCTCGGGGTCCTCTCGGGCTGTTTGGGGGCCCTCTTGGAGGCCTCTTGGGCCGTCTTGGGGCGATCTTGGGGGCCTCTTGGGACGTCTTGGAGCGGCGGGGAGCGGAAAAGGCGAGACCGCCCAAATCTTAGAAAAATGCCAAAAGGAACATCAGTGAATGTCGCCTCGTGGGGCCCTTCTCGGGAGTGCGATTGCAGGCTTTTTGGGACGTCTGGGCGGCCTCCTGGACAGTTTGGAGGGCGTGAAGGCGCTTGGGACCGATCGTTTGGCGATTGTGGGGTTTCTGGGACTGTCTCGGGGGCCTCGTGGGTGGGGCCCCGGGACCCACAGGGGGGATGCGTATCTCACCCCCTTCCAGGGATCCCCCCCGGGGCCACCCACGGGACTCCCCCGACCTCCCCTAGGATCATTGTCCCCTATGAATATACACCCCCTCCCCCAGGCGACTGGCAGCCAACCAGGAACGACGAGGACACCATGCTCACCCCTTCCACCATCCCTGTCAAAAAGACAATACAAAAAGCACTCTGCCTCCACATTTGGAGCATGCGCGGCCAACCCGATGCGCCACCCCCCACCATCCCTGCCAAAGAACAATACGAAGTACACTTTGGGGCACAGTCTTGAGTCATGTTCGTGATGCCCGCGAGCACTTTGTATTTTTTTATAGGGACGGCGGGGGTGTCAGGATATTGCCTGCTGTGCGCAGGGCCACAATCCTTGACAAAAAGCGATACAAACTACACCTCGTGGCTACCGTAGCCATTTGGCTCAAGTTTCGCCGTGAGCGCACATTGTTGTAGGCCTTTTTCTAGTCGTTGAACCCTCACTGTAGCCATGGCAGAGACATTCGCATTCAATGCTGACATCCAGCAGCTCATGAGCCTGATCATTAACACCTTCTACTCCAACAAGGAGATCTTCTTGCGCGAGCTCATATCAAATGCGTCAGATGCCTTGGACAAGATCCGGTACGAGTCCATCACGGATCCTGACAAGATCGAGGCCCAGCCGAATTTTTACATCAAGATCGTCCCCGACAAGACCAATTCCACCATCACTATCGAGGATTCTGGCATCGGGATGACCAAGAACGAATTGATCAACAACCTCGGCACCATCGCCAAGTCCGGCACCAAGGCCTTCATGGAGGCAATGGCAGCCGGCGGCGACATCTCCATGATCGGGCAGTTCGGAGTCGGTTTTTACTCCGCGTACCTCGTCTCGGACAAGGTGCGCGTGATCAGCAAGAACAACGACGACGAGCAGTACATCTGGGAGTCTGGGGCTGGTGGCTCCTTCACGGTGCAGAAGGACACAGAGATGGTGCACGGGGAGATCAAGCGCGGCACTAAGATCATTTGTTATTTAAAGGAGGACCAGTCCGAATTCCTGGAGGAACGCCGCCTGAAGGATCTGGTCAAGAAGCACTCGGAGTTCATCGGGTTCCCCATCGAGTTGTACGTGGAGAAGTCTAAGGAGAAGGAAGTTACGGATTCTGAGGACGAGGAGGAGGAGAAGAAGGACGAGAAAGAAGGCGATGAGCCGAAGATTGAGGAGGTCGACGAGGAGAAAGAGAAGGAGGAGAAAAAGAAAAAGACAAAGAAGGTTAAGGAGGTATCCCACGAATGGGAGCAGCTTAACAAGAACAAGCCGCTGTGGATGCGCAAGTCCGAAGACGTGACCAATGAGGAGTATGCATCGTTCTACAAGTCACTGTCTAA